GAGGGCAACAAAAATGATTAGGGGTCTGGAGCACATGACTTATGAGGAGAGGCTGAGGGAACTGGGATTGTTTAGTCTCCAGAAGAGAAGAATGAGGGGGGATTTGATAGCTGCTTTCAACTACCTGAGGGGGGGTTCCAAAGAGGATGGAGCTCGGCTGTTCTCAGTGGTGGCAGATGACAGAACAAGGAGCAATGGTCTCAAGTTGCAGTGGGGGAGGTCTAGGTTGGATATTAGGAAACACTATTTCACTAGGAGGGTGGTGAAGCACTGGAATGCATTACCTAGGGAGGTGGTGGAGTCTCCTTCCTTGGAGGTTTTTAAGGCCCGGCTTGACAAAGCTCTGGCTGGGATGATTTAGTTGGGAATTGGTCCTGCTTTGAGCAGGGGGTTGGACTAGATGACCTCCTGAGGTCCCTTCCAGCCCTGATATTCTATGATTCTATGAAAACAAGTTATTCATCAGTTAAAGTGTGTTTTAACCGTTTTGAAAAGTTATATATTATTAACTATAGTATTCAAGTAAAGAGTTTGAAAGGAAAAAGATAAAATACTTACCAACCCATAAAGCATTTCATATAGAACCGCACCAAGGCACCACCAGTCTACTGTGTTGTCATAGGGCTGTTTTCTGATCACTTCTGGGGCAAGGTACTAAAGAAAAAAAAAGTTAGGCTGGTTATATTCAAATCTAGCTTTTATCCAAGCAACTATTTTACAATACATCTTTAGGAAAGTTACTGTATAGATTACTAAAGATTTCTCTTGTCCTTTAACAAACTTGGTAAATCTCTCTGACATCCAGCCGATTGTTTAAATGGACAGCTGTTGTTTCCCAGCTCAAGTTATCCTTTATACCCATTGACAATTTGCCAAATTACTGTGCCATCTCTAATTTGACAATTCTTTCAAGATTCAGGGAAAGGTCATTGCACTGTAGCTTCACAGACAACTAAGCAGCAGCTGAAACCACAGTGTGGGAATCTGCAAAGAAACAGTTTCCCTCTGCCAATGGCATCTCTTTTTCTCAAGGACAAGTTGTTCATTAACCAATCCTGTTGCCCCCTCTTGAATACTGAATGAGGGATTTAAAAAGTGGGAAATAAGTGGAAGCATCTCATTCTGCTTCAAACCAAGAAAATGTTTCTTACTCCTCCCTACTGTTACTGCATAATCACATGATCTATATTTTAAGTTTCAATGAGGCTTCAGACAAATAATAAATCATCAATTGTGAAATTATCCAGAGATTTTTTTTTGTCACAAATTAGTCAGGGGACACAGATTTGAAGGACACATTCCATACCATGGTTTGCCATCCTTTTACATCAATTACTGGTTGGCAACAAGACACTATCACGTTTCTAGGTGCCTCACAAAAAAGTTTATTCAGGATTTAGGCACTTATATGGTTCCCAGCACCATAATAGCTGAGTAGATACATCTGGTACAGAATATCCTAGGCCCACCAGGCTATTCTGTACAGATACACAGTTATTTAGAATGTTGACGATATGGCTGGATCATTCTTGTTCTCACAGCCCTGACCTGCAATGCTTTTGCTCCTTCAGTCCTTGCCTCTCCTCCCTCTTGAGCAGAGATTGCTGATTCTACTTTATAGTCAGTTACGTGATATGGACAAATATAGGGACCAGAGAGAGATCATACTAGACACTCAGGTACTATTGTAACGAGTGGAGTTTAAATATTAAGCTAGATCATTAAACTTTTAGCAGCTCATGAATGATCTGAATCCAAGTCCCAGAGTAGACAGACTGGTACACAACCCACAACGCTCAAACTCAGTAAAATGTTTTTATAAACTGGGGCCTCGGGCCATAGTGTTTCAGTCCTCTTGTGTATGTCCAATATGAATTACACCAAATGTGTTAAAAAACTTGCTCTTAGTACAAGTCAAAGTTTTTTCTTTGCAATCCATTTCACAATTGGTCATAACAAATATTTAACCACAAGTGCTCTATATTTTGGCATTCAAATTTTCCAACAAAGTTCAATAGACACATTGTTTCTCTTCAGGTTTGATTACTATATGCTTTATTTTATGGACTCGTAGATAGATTACAACTCACATAAATTGCTGCCACAAGAGTTTTCACTGACAGACACTTCACCATTTGTATAATCCTTGTCAACTACAAAACTTCTAATTCATGCAAGATTATCTATCTGTCCATCAACTTTGAAAACTACCAACACTCCCCCACCCACCACCCCAAAAAATGAAACCCTCTCCTCCAGTTTGTTGTGGCAATTTGCATGTGCTGGCTAAAACTCAAGGAAGTTAGCTTACTTCTGGTGTCCCACAAAAGGTTGCGGTGGTGTCCGAGATAGCAATCCCTTCTTTACAGAGTCCAAAATCTGTTAAGACAACATGTCCCTGTAGAGAAAAAACAAAAACAAAACAGATCTTACTGAAAATAAAATCAATTTATGACTGTATCATAATATTTTGCATTTACACAAAGGTAAGTGTTCATGTAAAGAGACAATTTTGGACATCTGATAGGATATGCTTACCAGTGAGTCTAAGAGAATGTTTTCTGGTTTCAAATCCCTATTAAAAACAAAGTCTTATATTAATCCTCCTATGAGTGTAATCAAAAAAAGAAGAGAGAGAGTTTTATACTAATAAGTAGTCACTTATTTTTTACACATTTTTTTAAAAAATTGGGTCAGACCTCTATTTAAAAAAATAAATAAATGGTAAGCTTAAAGTCATAAGTCCACATGTAAATAGGTTGAATAAAAACACCAAACGCAGCTTTTCTTGATTTGCTACATTTATCTTAATGCAGAACAAAAATAAGTTTTAGGAAAGGGTTACCTGTATACAATATTTATGGAGTGCAAGTAGCCCAATGCACTGGCTATTTCAGCAGCATAAAATCTGGCTCTGTGTTCAGGAAAGGAGCGTTCTCTTTGTAAATGAAAGAACAGCTGTAAATATACAAAGATGCAAATGATAAGACAAACTGGCATAAAAATATCAAAATTACAAGATGCAATCCTTTGCAATAACAAGCAAGTCACTTTCAGTTAGCTTTTTTATGACAAGCTAGCAGAACTGTGAAACAAATTATTTTTTTTCCCCGTTTACATAACCATTTATATCCTTCCTTTAGCCATGTCTTTATTTTCTCACTTGTGTAACCCCAGTGGTACTTAGAGTGCAATGAGTTAATAGACAGGAGTACAGGATGTTTCCCAGAAAGTCAAGTCCAGCCAATACAAATTTACTCCTGAGGGCATTCTGCACCAAAAAATTAAAAATTCTGCACACAGTATTTTAAAATTTTGCAAATTTTATTTGTCAAATAAATGTGGAGGCTCCAGCATGGCATTGGGGAGCACAGGCCACTGGCTGTACAGAGATGGAAGCTTACTGTGCAGCTCCCTCCTCCCTTTCCCCCAGGACACGGACTCAGCGGTGAGGCTGCACCCAACCCTGACACAGCGCAAGGACCAGGCCAGGTGCACCAGGTGGGGGCAAGCAGGATCCAAGTGTGGAGGGGCTTAGTGTGGGGGGATCCAGGTGTGGGCTGAGAGGGTTCTGTGTGGGACAATCTGGGTGTGGGCGTCTCAGTGGGGGGATCCAGGTGTGGTGGGGGATCTGGATGCACAGGGGCTTGTTGGGGGGTTCTGGGTGCAATGGTAATGGGACTCTGCAGGGGGGTCCAGGTGAAAGTGGTTGGGGCTCAGAAGGGGTGTATGTGGGGGGGATAGAGCTTGTCAGGGGGGGTCTGGGTGTGGGGAGCTCAGTGGGGGGGTCCAGGAAGGCTGGGGGAGTGGGGCAGGGATCCAGGTGCAGCTGGCTGGGGCTCGGTAGGGTGGGGATCCGAGTGCAGGTGGTTTGTTGGGGTGGTCCAGGCGCTGGGGAAGCGGGGCTTGTCAGGAGGGTTCTGGGTGCAGGGGGAGTGAGCCTTGGCATGACAGTCTGGGTATGAGGGGGTCTGGATGCACGGGGGTTGGGTGGATGGGGGAGCAGCTCCCTGTATAGTGATCATCCCTCCCCCTGCAGCTGAGGAGTGATGGGTGCAGGAAATAGGGGTGGAGGGAGTTTGCAGAACTTCCTACAGCCTGGGGAGAAATCTTGGGGTGGGTCTGACACAGCCTCAGATGCTGTGCAGGGGAAGAGGAAGTCCTATCCTCCCCAGCCCAGCCAGGACTAGCAGCTGAAGCTGGCACAGGGTAGGAGCCAGCAGCTGGGTCTTCCCCAGTCCCCCCACTTCTCCACAATGATTTACCTCTCTGCTGGCTGTCCTAGGCACCCAAAAAAACTTACTGCTGGGGAGGGATGCATGACCACTCATGGGTTCCCTTTGCTTCCCCATCAAAAAGTCATTTTTCTGCAGGGAAGCAAAGAAATCTGCGGGGAACATAAATGCTGTGCCTGCACAGTGGCGCTGCATTCCCCCAGCAGTACAAATTATTACACTGATGACAAAGGCAAGCTGGGGAGTATCTTATAGTCAGATCTCTAGCTTTTTCTATTTTAGAAGATAACAAATAGCATAATACTAACTAACTTGACAACTGCCTATGTGCGGAGCACTTCAATACAAGTACTTGCATAACAGTCTAATGATATTACACTCTATTCTGAGACCACTTGGAGGAGTTTTATATTATGAGGATACATTCTTCAATCCTACAAGTTATTTGGTGCAGGTGGACCCCACGGGCTCACAGGCTTCAGTTGATGTCTACATGGGTGCAGGAGTCTACTGACATGGAGTTACTTGTAGGGTTGGAGACTACCTTGCTATGCACAAAACTGAAAAGTTTGCTATAGAAAAAGACAGTTACCTTTTCTGTAACTGGTGTTCTTCGAGATGTGTTTCTCATGTCCATTCCATATTAGGTGTGTGTGCTCGCCACATGCATCGGTGCCAGGAGTTTTTCCCTCAGCAGTTTCCATAGGGGACCAGCTCTGGTGCCCTCTGGAGTGGCACCCACATGGCACGGTATAAGGGGCGCCGCCGGCTCCCCCCACCCTCAGTTCCTTCTTGCTGGAAACTCAGACAGTGGGGAAGGAGGACGGGTTGTGGAATGGACACGAGCAACACATCTCGAAGAATAACAGTTATGGAAATGGTAACTGTCTTTTCTTCTTTGAGTGCTTGCTCATGTCCATTCCATATCAGGTGATTCCAAAGCAGCACCGCTGGAGGTGGGTAGGAGTTCACGGATGTGTAGATTGCAACACAGCTCTGCCGAACCAGCGTCATCTCTGGCCTGCTGAGTGATGGCATAATGAGCAGTAAACGTGCGAACAGAGGAGCACGTTGCAGCTCTACAGATGTCCTGGATAGGGATGTGTGCCAAGGCGGCCGCCAAAGATGCCTGTGCTCTCGTCGAGTGGGCTCTGACAATCAGCAGCGGCGGAACCCCCACTAGGTCGTAACAGGTCCTAGGCACAAGGTAATCCAATTAGAAATCCTCTGCAAGGACACCAGGTGACCCTTCATCCTATCCACTGTAGCGATGAAGAGTTGAGTCAATTTTCAGAAAGGCTTGGCATGTTCTAAGTAGAAAGCCAAGGCCCTCCAGATATCCAGGACGTGAAGACACCTCTCCTCACTGGTTGTGTGTGTTTTGGGACAGAAGACTGTGAGGAAGATGTCCTAGTTCATATGGAAGGTGGAGACCACCTTTGGCAGTAAGGCTGGGTGGGGATGCAACTTTACCTTATCTTTGTAGAAGACCGTGTACGGAGGTTCTGAGGTCAAGGCTTTAATTTCAGAGATCCATCTTGCCAATGTCACCGCCACCAGGAACATGACTTTCCATGACAGGTGGGAAAGGAAGTAGGAACCCAGCGGCTCAAAGGGCAGGCCGGTGAGCCTAGAGAAGACCAAGTTAAGATCCCACTGTGGGACAGGAATCCGTACCTGCGGGAAGAGACTCTTGAGCCCTCTGAAGAATCTGACCATCATGTCATGGGAAAACACCATCTGTCCTTGGATCCACAGGTGAAAAGCAGAGATGGCCACTAGATGAACTCTAATGGAAGTGTGCGCCAGGCCCTGGTTCCTTAATGGAGCAGGTAGTCCAGGACAGCCTGTATGGAAGAACATGAGGGAGAGATGCCATGTTCGGACGCCCAGCGGGAAAACCTCATCCACTTGGCCAGGGAAGTCAGTCTAGTTGAGGGCTTCCTACTAACTACGTATAACTATTTTATAGGATTTTAGAGTTTGCAAGAACAGAGAAAGAATCAATTCTAGCTGAAGAAGCAGACATTCCAGCACCGTCACTGGCGGCAAGAAGGAAGTGAGGGTGGGGGGAGCCGGCAGCACCCCTTATACCACGCCATGCGGGCACCACTCCAGAGGGCACCAGAGCCGGTCCCCTACGGAAACTGCTGAGTGAAAAACTTCCGGCACCAGTGCATGTGGCGAGCACCCACACCTAATATGGAATGGACATGAGCAAGCACTCAAAGAATATTTTCCTTTCTAAAGTCATCTTGTGATGCATAGCTAGAAAGGGTTAAACAGCCTGTAAAATAAATAACCCTCAAAAGATAAGTGGGGAGATAATGTTTGTGTTTTTGTGTATTTCCATATGTATGAGTAGGGTCCACAATGTAATCAACAGTCCCTGTCTATGCTTTATTCTGATAATTCAGAGGTCAAAAAAAATCCGATCATTTAAATGAATTGTAAACACAGGATATCTCTGTATTCATCTCTCTTTGAAATGTACGGAGAATGGTGGAGGAACAAGCAAATGGCCTTATGTTAATTCATACAGCTAAGTACTGGTTATGGACCTCCTTCAAAGTCATCCCAATTACCTTTTGTTCCCTGAGGAACTCCCAACTTGTCAAAGATGACATGAAATATCATAAAAGATCCTTGGGTCCTGATTCGGTCATCTCAGATCTGTTTAGGCTTCATCAGGGGAAGTTTGAGTCGCAAGACTGAGGTCCCAGTAATGCTGGTTCGCCCTGACTATGAGATTTGGACATTGGACTATGAACTATGAACTATTTCTGAAAGAACTCTTTGCAAATACAAAACTCACCATCTCTGCTATGAATCTGAACCTCAATGAATTGAAGTCATGTCTGTATGGATATTGATCTTTTATCCATACTCTCTCTTGTTTTTTTAATAAATTTTAGTTTAGTTAATAACAATTGGCTCTAGTGTGTATTTGGGTAAGATCTGAAACAGTCATTAACCTGGGAGGGAATGTGTCCAATCCTTTGGGATTAGTAGAACCTTTTCTTTTATATGATGAAATAAGATTACAGAAATTTTCATCATATTTGATGTGGGTACCTGGATGGAGGCCTGAGGCTGGATCACTTTAAGGGAACTGTGTTGTTTGGACTTGAAGCTGTTTTATGCTGTCTTGGCAAATGTAAGTATTGGAATATCGACCAGCTTTTGGGGGATTGGCTGCCCCATTCTTTGCAGTTCACCCTAATTGAGTGACCACAGCTGGCTCCCCACTAGGACCCCAGTCACACCACTACTGGAAATAAATAAGTAAGCAAGATTCCAAGCATTCCAACTTGACTGCAAGAAGGAAAACTTTTGTATTGTATTTATTTCTATCACTGTTGGTGTTAGATTTGAATACTTCTTAATGTGTGTAAGTTGTTGTACAGAGTTCAGAAAAACAGCATTGTCTGGCCACGCTGGGGGGGTCAGGGTGGAGAGGGGGAATAGGAGGCAAGGGATGTGGTTTAATTAGGCCACAACTTTATTCAGTTAAAATATCTGGGAGTACCCAGCAACAAATTGTACAGTGCAGGTCACCATTCTTTCCTTAATCATTTCCCAATAATTCCCAACTAGGTCCCACCTATCCTGCTGCTGGGACCCTGCCGCCCTCCCCTCACCTGAGGGCAAAGGAGGCTATAAAAGGAGAGGGGTCACTGTACAAGATGTGGGAGTCCAAAGCCCCCCCCTTACTCAGTTCCATTAAGGGATTATTTCCTTTAAATCCTCTTCCAATCCATTTGATCTGATAACTACACCCCTTCCCCACTGAGTAGCTGCATTGGACACCTGCCACAAGTTTTACATATTAAGTTATGACATTATAACCTAACCCTCCCCAATCCACCTAGTCCCAGGACCACTGTGGGGAAATGTGAAAAAAATTCACCCTACCTTGGCCAATCTGGTGGTGAGGGAAAAATTCCTCCCAAGCCCCCCAGGGGAAAAGACAACTAGTATAATGTCCACTGCAAGTCAAGGGGAACCCAGTTCTTTTGCCCAGTTCATGGGTGGGTGGGTGCTGCTAGCCCAGTCCTGGTAAAAGAGAGCCTCTCTGGGGATACATGGGGTATAAATCCCTCCCCCACTGCTCCAGTCAAGCAGGAAGGGCAGTGCAGTGACCTTCCCCTGACCTGGCTCCAACTGCTTCCTGCCTTTCCTGTCCATCCCTGTCAGCTTTCCCCCACTCTTCCCACCCGTTATAACAGAGCCCTTAAAGATCTCTAGCCTCTTCTATTTCTTATAAGAAAAGGCAGCAACCCTTTTCTTCCAGCTAGCCAGAAAAAACCCCCCCCCCCCCCCCCCCCCCCCCCCCCCCCCAAAAAAAAAAAGCTCCACTGGGCACACTGTATGGGAAGGAGACAAACACTAAACAAAAATAGAAGAACATGAGAATTACCATCCTGGACCAGACAGAGATCTATCTAGTCCAATATCCCACCTCCAACCATGGCCAGCACCACATGCTTCAGAGGAAGGTGTAAGAACCCAAGAATAAGCAGATGCAGGATAATCTTCCCCCAACATTGGGTCTCATCCTGACCTCTAACAGTTAGAGACTAGCTTAGCCCAAAAGCATAAAGTTTAATGTACATCCCATTCATTTTTTGTTCTCATTAGTTACAACAACTCTGGATACTGCTATATGTATAAAATGTCCAGTCCTTATTGATTTTAGTTTTTGGCCTCAATGACTTCCTACAGCACTAAGTTCCAGAGGTTCATGTTCTGTGAAACAGTATTTCCTTTTGTCAATTTCCCACCTTTTGATTTAACTAAACATCCCCTTGTTTGTGTGTTATGAGACAGGCAGAAGAAAAGTTCCTCATCTACCTACTCTATTTTATATATATATATATATATATATATATATATATATATATATACACACTTGTATCATGTCCCTTCTTATTAATTTCCTTTCTACTGGAAACAATCCCAGTCCTTTCCGCCGCTCTTCAAATGAGAGATTTCATGCCTTTGGTCATTCTCATTGTCGTCCTCTGGGCCCTCTTTATTTCTGCATTATCCTTTTAGAGATGGGGTAACAAATATTGTACATAGTATTTCAGATGAGGCTGCACCACTGATCTATATAAAATGTATTGTTATATTTCCATTTTATTCACCATCACATTATTTTTTAAATGTAACATCTTGTTTGCTTTACTGACTGCAGCTGCACATTGAGCAGAGGTGTTTATTGAGCTGTTTACAGCGATACCCAGGTCCCTTTCTTGAGTTGACAGTCAATTGAGAACTACAACAGAACCTCAGAGTTACGAACACCAGAGTTGCGAACTGACCGGTCAACCATACACCTCATTTGGAATGGGGAGTACACAATCAGGCAGCAGCAGAGAGAGAGACACAAAAAAAGCCAATAATGTTTAACACAGTTCAGTAACTACTAAAACAGTAAAGGGAAAGTTTAAAAAAAAATTGACACGGTAAGGAAACTGTTTCTGTGCTTCTTTCATTTAAACTGAGATGGCTAAAAATCAGCATTTTTCTTCTACATAGTAAAGTTTCAAAACTGTATTAAGTCAGATCAATTATAAACTTTTGAAAGATCAATGTTTTGTTCAGAGTTATGAATATTTCAGCATTACGAACAATCTCCATTCCTGAGGTGTTCGTAAATCTGAGGTTCTACTGTATGTAAGGCACATGAGTAGCTTAAATTTTTTCCCCCTCAAATGGGCATTAGTCAACATGAAATTCAGTTTGCCATCATGCTGCCCATTCACTGAGTTTGTCTGGGTCTCTCTGGTCATGACTAACCTAAATAACTTTGTCTCATTTGCAAGTTTTGCAACCTCACTCCCCTTCACTTTCCAAATTATTAATATGTTGACCTATACAGGACCTAGAACAGAACCTTGAGGCACCCCACTGCTAGCTTTTTGCCATGATGAAAAACCAACCATTTATATTTGACTCTTCTCCTAATCCTCTCTCCTCCCACCCCAAGCCAGTTTTTTAATCCATAATATTTTGCCTCTGACCCCATGACTACTTATCTTCTTTAGTAGCCTCTTATGCAGAACTTTGTCAAAGGCCTTTTGGAAATCTAAATGTCAACTGGTTCTCTTTTATCTAGTACTTTATTGATATGTTCAAAGTATTCTAAGAGATTAGTGAGACATGATTTTTCTTTGCAGGAACTGCACTGGTCAGACGCTATGCTATCATGATTTTCCAGGTGTTTTGTAATTCTGTTTTAAAATAGTAATTTCAACCAAATTTCCAGGTAAAGATGTGACGCTTAATGGTCTATAATTCCTCATATTACTCCTAGAGCCATTTTAAAATAGATGTAATATTTGCTACCCTCCAATCCTCTGGAGCAGTGGCTGTTAGGGAGATATTGTGTACTTTTATTATCAGCTCAGCCTATTTATACTTGAGCTCCTTCAGAACTCTTGGGTGTATGTTATCTGGGCCTAGTGACTTACTGCTTGTTAAACAATCAATTTACTCCAGCATGTCTGATTAAAATTTACAGATTTCATCCATCTCTTTCACAAGTTCTTCCTCAAATTACATATGGTCTCCTCAGCTTCAATGTTGGTGCTTAGAGTAAACAATGCTGCAAATAACAAGGCTATTTTAGCAAGAGGTAACTATGGCATTTGAGGCTATGGTGTACAACCAGAAGCACAGTAACCCTGAAGAAGTCAATTCAATTGCTTAAGTCTGCCAAAAAACACACCCTCTTCCTGCTGCTTCTAGAACAGGGGTAGGCAACCTATGGCACCCATGCCAAAGGCAGCACACAAGCTGATTTTCAGTGCCACTCTCACTGCCCGGGTCCTGGCCACCGATCCGGTGGGCTCTGCATTTTAAATTTAATTTTAAATGAAGCTTCTTAAAACATTTTAAAAACCTTATTTACTTTACATACAACAACAGTTTACTTATATATTACAGACTTATAGAAAGAGACCTTCTAAAAATGTTAAAATGTATTACTGGCACGTGAACCCTTAAATTAGAGTGAATAAATGAAGACTCGGCACACCACTTCTGAAAAGTTGCCAACCCCTGTTCTAGAACTTGGCATCTAGGCTCTTGTTTATGTCACAGACAAGGGAGGAATTGCTTTAAGTGCTGAAGGAAATATCAGTATACAGTGAATTCATATTGAAGGCATGTTTTATTTACAGCCATATCCAGTAAAATAGTGTATATAAGGCTGGTGAGAATTTCTGCATTAAAATTGTGTATTAAGGTTTATATTGAGAGTTTAATAAAAATGAGTTGTATGAGAAAGAAGAAACTCTTCAATAGTTGCAAATAAGTTTTTGAATGCAAGTCAACAGCAACATCTTAAAAACTAACTAGTAAGTAAAATCAATAGGATTTTAATTTACTTACAGAAATAGTAAAATGAACACATTTTACAGTGGATGATTTTTTTCCCTGTAAATTAGCCTAAGAGGAGACAAAAACCTGAACAAATATGAAAACTACTTACCTCCCCTCCATTAACAAAATCCAGAACAAAGTAAAGCTTTTCTGTTGTTTGGAATGAGTAATGTAATCCAACCAAAAATGGATGTTTCACATTTTTCAACAGTACATTACGTTCAGCCATAATATGTTTTTGCTGCAAGGAAGTGAAAGGTCAATAAGTAAATAGGAACAATTTTGTAATTGAAGGGGAAAAGAAAAATGTATTTCCCCCGCACCTCTTTCCTGTTGAGAACAACCTTTTTCTGCAGTACTTTGACAGCATAAAATTTCCCATCCAGTTTTCGTTTTGCAAGAAGAACCTGTGAAATTTATGATGAGAGAGGAGACATGGTTAGCGTAGTTCTCATTCTGATATTCAAGAGTATCTGAAGAAACATGATTAATACAATTACTTCACTGTACAATTTCTTGGCCCTTAAAATAGTTCACAATTATTACCAGTGTCACCAGCAAAAAGAGAATGTTACCAGAATATGGAATCTAAGATCTTGCACAGTTTCTGCTGAACTGTAATGTCACAATGGAGAGCTCATGCAAGACCAAATTATGGCATAGGCACTACAGGTTCATGCCTAGAGCCCCAGCTCCTGGAGTGGAGGAGGGCGGAATCGTGGCTCTTTTTAAAATATACATTTCTAGTCTCCATGGTTGTGGTGAAATGCTCAGAAATATGACTAAGGAGCCTCAAACACTAGCGCCGAGATGGATGAACTGCTCCATCTATCTTAATAGGATGTTGCCACAAAGACCCACTGCTCTGGGGTAGCCCAGCCAACACCACCCCAAACAGAGAACTGGGTGTGTGGCTGTAGTTGAGTAAGCCCAGCACGCCCACCCAGCAGATAATGCAGCAGCAGGAGTGCAAGTACTGAGGTGCCTCCCTGCTGCCACCCTTACCTCTCTGTGGGGAAGAAGGGACCCTAACTGCTCCAATGATAGGGAAAACCTTACTGCTGCTCTTGGTCAGGAGTTGAGGGGGTCCCATGTCACTGCTACTCCAGGTGGAAGGAATGGTGCCATGGTATGAAAGTGGGGCTGTAAGGGTGGAGCCACAAGAGGCCTTGTGTGCCATAGGCCCCAGGTTGCCTTAATCCAGCCCTGAACTTGTGAGTACCACTTCCCAGTGTTCACCAAATCTAGTGCCAGTGTGCAGTTCTGTCAGGATGAGAAATGGTAAGAAAGCTCACCTTGCCAAAGCTGCCTTTCCCAATGACTTTCAAGAAGTCAAAGTCTGTTGGCTTAGCGCTGAAAGTGATTCAGAAAGGAGGGGGTTACTTGGGGTAGAAAATATCAACTTCACAATTTTACACAATGCTCAGAATTATATTTAAACAAGTGCTTGAACTGCAAACAAAGTGCTGATCTGAGCCACTATTTCCCTGCACACCATGTCTCACTTAAGGCCTGCTAGTAGCTTGGAGGTTCTCCATACCAGCTCCTCTTTTATGGCCCGCAATCAAACCCTTCCCTGTTTTCACTTCCTATTTTCTGCCAGGGAAATACAATACAAGTGTTAGTGTTAGAATTTAAATAAAAATAAAATTGACAAAACAGACTCAGCGCCACACTTCTCTGCTCTTTGTTCTTTTCTCCTCCCCCCCCACATCTCTCATGTTCATTCTAGTCCCTTTTTCTTTTTTTAAGTCTAGGTTTTCCCCTCATACCTCCCTCTTTCCTCCTGGGGCACCCCCTGCGTGAAAAAGGCCTATGACTCTTAAAATAGTTTGTTCCTTGTCCATCCCCCATTCTCAAGTCTTTGTCTCCCCTTTCTCCCACCCCTCCCGCATTCTGTTCTTTGCATCCCATTTTTTGGCACCTCTTCCTCTTCCTTTGTCTTGTTATATAGTCTGCCTCACTGTCCATGTATCTTTCCTTGCTGTTTTCTATCCCTCAGATTAGTCGTCCTATTCTCTGGCTTCTGCAATTCTTCCCCTCACTGCCCACCCTACTTTCTTCCTATGACTCCCTATCTCTCCCTTCCTTCTCTCTGGAAGGCACATGTATTCATATGTATTCGGCATTCAAGTGCCACTATCTCTTGGCCTTCCAACCTTCCTTCTTCACATGGCTCTTGCCCTCCAATTTGACAATTACCTTACAAGGACCACCATCCACTCTCTATTTGTTGCCCTTTTATTGATTGCACTACCAAAGAGGATTTGGGGCACAATATATAAAGCCCCACACTCTCTCCCAGTGGTGCAGTACAATCAATGAGGAAAGTAGCAAACATGGGGAGCAGATGCCCTAAGCGGGAAATTAGAGGAAAGGCAAAAAGGATGAGGGAGTTGGGAGACACAGCGATGAGAACAGGAGCCACATAGAATGGGTCCACATAGAAGGAGAGGAAAGACATACTGATTGCATGAGCCAGTTTTTCATATCAACATAATATAGTTCCTTATACTATACTGTAGAAGTTTGACATTAACACAAGTTTACATTAACACAAGTTGACTTGTTTTGATCTATATAGTGGTTCTACATGCATCTTCAGACCAAAATCTGTTCTTGAGTAATGAAGAAACAACCCTTTTGCTCTCTAGGCTAAGAGAGGCTGGAAACTGCTGAGTGGGTATTTTTTCCCCCTCAGGAGTCTTTTGGGCAATTAAGACAAGCCATAGATAGATTCCAAACCAAATTCTTCTAGTGAAGGAAGAACGGGAAAAGTAACAATTGCAAACCAGGGCCTAAAAAAATGGAAAGGGAGACAATGGGGCTCCTCAGGGCTGTGTGAGGGTTGCTATGGGCAAATTCTGTCCCAACTCTTCCCTCAGTCATATAATAGGGGGATAGAACAAACTGCAATTCTGTACAAGCTTTGGGGTTTGAACTGTTTGTTTGGGTATATTTTAAAACTGCTGCCATGGCGTTCCAAAGAGGAGCAGTTATCTTGCCTGCATAACATCATCATCTGTGCTACTCGTGTTTGAAACTTAGTAGGTTACAAAACCTGTTAGATAAGAGAAGGGGGGCGGGAGAAGAATAGGAAGAAAAATCTGTAAGGGGGTCTCTGTGTCTGCAGGATTGCAGCAACCCTGCTAGTAGCGCTCTGAGGTGGAAAGGGGAGGCAGGTCGTTTGCATATTTCAAAGATACTCTCTCCCAGCCTAAGAACATTTATATATTCCTTTTATTGTTTAAATGGGGGAAACTATTTCTATAGACATCACTACACATCTCAGATTTGTTTGGGGTACACTACTGGTAAAGAATCTGCTGATTATGCTAAAATCACACAGCATACAACTAATGTGCATGATAATATTTACTTAATGCCGAGTTAGAACCTTTGCTTCCTCTCAAGTTGCACAAAGTAGCAAATAAAAGGCACGTATCTGGAGGACATTTCATATAGTTAGCAATTAAAGTGTGTCTAACTTTTGGTTTATATTTAACTAAAACCTACTGAGGATTTCCAGATGGTCCCAGGTTGATATTCTGTGAGGTAGAGTTTAGCTGTAGGAAGGGAAAAAAAAGCAAGCTTCAGATCAGTTTAGATTTGTTTACCCATTAAAAGGAAATCCCATCTCTTATCCTTCAGCTAATATTCATTGCAAAATATTCAATTAGCTCAAACCATCTCTACATTTATATTTCTCATTATTTTCTATATAGTATTTTAAAATATATTTATAAAGTTAAAATATCAGAAGAGTTAACAGGAAGGGTTATACAGACAGTGTCAAAGTATAAAGGTAATACAATCTTATGTTCCAATACAGATGGCAAGGTTATGAACAGAATTTTAAGTCTCAGCCCTTTTAACAAGTAACTTAATGTCCAAAATTTAACCCATTTTGAAATTGTTTTATTCCAGGAATATTCTCTAGATATTTATTTAAATTTTTAAATCCACTACACTCTTGCCAATATATTATCAAAATAAACACTGCTTATGCAGGACCAGTTAAAGACATTGTGTGTAAAGGCTGTTGTCAACCTTTGACAATCCGACACACAAGGTTAATTATTCCAATTCCAGTAACTGCAGGGATGTTGCCAATGCTCGTACACCCCCCTCCCCCACAGCATATAAATTACAGGGAGAGGGAGAAGCTCTTCCAATTTCTTCCCTCTTTAACCTCTGTGGATACCTCAAGAAGCAATGGGCTTAAACTGAAGCCAGGGCAGTTTAGATTGGACGTTAGGAAAAGCTTCTTGTTAGGTGGTAAAACGCTGGAATAAATTGCCTATATTCTGATCAATTTTCCCAATTTTATTTTATTTTTTAAAATTTATAGGACATCTGAACCATGACAGAGCAGAAGAATGTTAACTAGGAATATGATGAACATTTAAGGAGAAAATATAAGATATTCCATTTATGATTAGTGCCTATTCCTGTATTTTATGATGGATGGAAAATCAAGTTGAAAACATACATCCATTATTGAGATTTTAAGTTACATTTGTCACCACAACTTTTATTGATCTTAAGATTTCCATTAAAGTCTAAGAAATTAAAAAATGGAAGCCCTCATTTCTATTAAAAATGTAATGAAGTGCCATTGTAAATTTAATTAATTCTTCTACCTCCAAAGAGGTGAAAGGTAGAGAGTCTAAAAGTAAGGATCAGTGTAGAAAGAAATTATTATACAAGATTTGTAGATTTAGAAGACTCAGTAACTTCAAATGTTTAGCACTGAAAACTACATCAGGAAACTGATCTTGTCAATTAGGGCCCAGGAAAGCTTATTAATTAATGCACAATAGAAGATTCAGTGCCCAGAGAAGTGTATTGGAAAAAAATGACTTTTGTGGGTGTTGGAGCAGGACACAAGAGTGTTAAATGACTTTTGCATGCGAAGAATCCTTGACTATTGGGACATGAGAGACACAGAACGGATTAAAATAATTTAAATTATTCTGTTATTCTACCCAGCAAGACAATTTTTTTCTACCAATTTTTATAGTAGGACATTATAACTAGAAGTTCTTAAGACAGAGGCTCCTAAATAGACTGAGAGACTTAGTACAATTCTAAACCCAATATAGTGGCTTTAGTAAGAGATTGAGGTTTGAAACCTCCCAGTGTAAAAGGTGAACTGTGAACCAAAGTTATTTTTTCTTTGCGCTACTATAAAAATGGCTTCAAATATTTTTCAAGTTAGAGTCTCTTTTTTAGTTATTAAGCATTTAAATATCTGATCCTCCTAGCCTTCTCTTTTCTAGATATCTCTGGAAAGGTCTTTGGAGGACCTAAACAGTGATGTCACATGAACTGTAACCTGAGCCACAGCTCTTCCAGCCCCTAACAAATGGGGAAAACTGAGATTGTTAACACTTGTCTTTGCAGTTTATATTTTAGGGAAAAACTGAGTAACCTTATTGGAAAGGAACAGGGAGGAACCTGTTGGGGAACAACTTATTTTGTTGAAAGTTACAATACATATGAAATTGCCCTCATGTAGTTACAGTTTGTTCAAAAGTGCATGATTACTGTTCTTCTACTCCATTCTAGCTGACTTTGTTACCTTTTGATTGCTCCTTTCATCCTCATCTTCAGATGGATCTGACTGATGCTTTGGATTGTCCATCTGAAGAAATGCTCTGACATCCGGGCTAGAAATATAATTAAACCTATTAGGACATTAGTAACCTAAATGAATTTGCAACTCGTTACTACAGAAGAAGAATTTTTTTCACGTTCACCATCATATTATGCATCTGGTAAATAACAAAAACCCTTCCACAAATTGGTTGACTCCAGCCTCTTGTAGCGCGCGCGCACACACACACACACACAGGTAGGGCCACACCCAGCTGCAGACACAGACTGAATTCAGCTGTGTGTGAGAGAATTCTCCCAGCACTCACATGCACACCCCTTTTGGGGAATAAACCCAAAATAATACTGTCTGCACTGTATAGAAAGATCTGCACAGTGCAAGCTCACCAAAATTCACCCTCTCCCTCAATGTGAAGAGAGATGCACAACTTCTTCCTCCCCCTCCCCAACCCCCCCCGAGTTAGAAATTGCACAAACTGGGTTTAATAATAAACAGAACAAATGTATTAACTATAAAAGGCAGATTTTAAGTGATAGCAAACAGAACAAAGCAGAGTCCAGAGTCCAGATCAACCCCCTCCCCAGCCTTAGAAAGGATTTATCTAAGGCGGGAAACCTTTGTTTGATCCCCATCCCCCTAGAGAGAAAAAGTACCAGCAGTGTCCAGCGTGGTATTTTGCATCAGGTGATATTATCACCTGACTTTGTAGTGTCACAGCTATGTCCCAGAACACCTCTCAGGAAGGAGCAAGATTAGTATCTTCCCAGTCTCATTGTTTCTTCCTAATGGCCCATCAAGGCTGTGATGGCCAAGTGTCTGGTGGGTGTCTCCCAAATACACATACAGTTGTAATTGTTACATAGTCCATATCCCTAACTTTAGATACAAAAATAATACATCCATATAAATTGGATAATCACATTCAGTAAATCATAACCTTTCCAATGATATCTTACATGAGCCAACTTGCATAACGTATGTCTTAGTTATGCCATATTCATATCATAACCAATTTCTATGAAGAATATAGGGTTAAAAAAAGAACTAGATAACTTCATGGAAGATAGCCATTGATGGACCTATTAGCCAGGATAGGCAGGGATGCAAAACCATGCTCTGGCAAACAGAGGCTGGGGACACTTCAGAAGCTGGGAATGGGGGACATGGAATGGATCACTTGATGATTACCTGTTCTGTTCATTCCCTCTGAAGCACCTGGCATTGGTCACTGTCAGAAGAGTAGATACTGGGCTAGATGGACCAATTATCTGACCCAGTATGACTGTTCTTTTGTTCTTAGACATACCGGTGCTACCTCTCATCTGAGCTAATGCCCTAAAAATAGTAGCATAGCAATAGTGGAATGGGTAGCAGTAGCACGGGGCTACCTGTGCAGAGTACAAACCCACCTGAATCCTCTGGGTATGTATTCAGCACAGCTAACCCATGCTGCCACTGCCCATGCTACCCCCAGCTATGCTATTTTTAGTGTGCTAGCGCAGATGGGAGCTAGCACAAATATGAACTCGAAATTGTACCCGTAACTTGTAGTGTAGACGTAGAGAGTGAACTACCTACATTACAAGTCCCCAATTTACAAGTCCGCAATACAGTGTGTGCGCGCTACAAGAGGCTGGAGAGCCTAATTCAGCAAAACAGGGAGAGGGAATCCAGGCTGGTGGAGCAGGAGGGGCTCAGTGAAACCCCAGTACAACAGGTTGCATCCCAGAGGGAGTTCAACCCGTCACACCCTGTTATAGTCTGGGCCTTCACAACATCCTCTGGCAAAGAGTTCCACAGGTTGACTCTGTGTTGTATGAAGAAATACTTCCTTTTGTTTGTTTTAAACCTGCTGCCTATTAATTTCATTTGGTGGCCCCCTAGTTCTTGTAGTATGAGGAGTAAATAACACTTTCTTATTTACTTTCTCCATGCAAACAGGGAAACACACTCCTAGCTCACAGTGTAGATGTAGCCTCTGTTTAACTGAGCATGTACACCAACATATGCAGTATATACAATTTTTCCACTTGCAATGACTTGCCATATTAAAATATAGATGAACATGAAAAGATTGCAGGAGGTGTTCAGTGAGACTATTTCAACTATGCTAATCGGAATTAAGCTTTCCACTTCCTCCACCAACGTTTGTAATTGGTTGTTGTCTTGTGAAATACCACAGGAAAACCAATTTCCTTTCTAACACCTTCAGTATCAGTGTGTCATTTTCAGTTTTCTAAAATTAATGAGAACTTATTACCGTATATAGAATGAACTGACATTATTTGTATTCTAAAGCACATCTTGGGTGATAAGTGGTATTATATAATTTCTTTTCCCCCATGCATATTGGTAGAATCGTGTATTTTAATGGCACTTGTTTTGTGCTGTCAAGTCTCAATGTAAAGAAATCCCTGCGTTCAGTAATAGACTGGCCTTCTGCTACCTACATGTCCAGCCCAATACTTATGAAAAAGTGTTTTGCAGAAAAAAATATTACTTTTACTGCCAATGGTGATACCCCACAGCTTGAAATAAACCCTATCTGAATACAATGCACAGTGAAAAAGTGGTACACCAATTTGTGGTGTTTTAGAAAACCCAGGCCTGAAGCAGTAAGGCTTAGTGGTGGTGAAGATGACGACAGACCACAACTATGTGAAAGCAGGAAAAACCTAAAGACTGGGATCCTGTAATCTAGTGGTGTTATAGTTGTTTTTCTTAGTTGATGTTGGAACCATGAGGACCCAATTTCTTTTCTAGAATGACTATTGTTCATGTCTCTCACTGCAGAAACTGGCAGTTTATTTAATATAGAGGACACTGCCATCATAAAAGTCACCTAGCGGAGTTATGCTATGTTCTAGTTTTCCTTAAGGAGCTACTAGAATTATTTTTAAACTATGCTAAGCCTTTAATGCATTCTATTTTATGCACTTGGTTTTAAGCTGCTTCTTAAAAGGGTGTTCTGATAGACAATTGCAAGTATTATCTTTTCAGTAAAGGCCTAGAGCTGAGGGGGAGGACAGCCCGACTTAAAGAGCTGCCCAATGGATTAGAGCTCAACTGTATGTTTGCGACCAGGGGCTGCTAACAGGGAGTTTCGCAAGGGAGTTCTCCAGGTGAAGGAGGAGCAATACAGCACCCTTTTGGGGTAAGTGACTGTCTGCAGTGTGTGTTTGTTTGTGTTTGGGGGTTACTTGCTGTGTGCTGAGCTTGTGTTTGGCAGTCTGTTTGTTTGTTTGGTTGTTTGAAGGACCGTGTGCTGTGGCTGACAGTTGGAAGCTGTGAGCTTCAAAGGAAGGTTTGAAACCAGGAAGCCTCTGGTAATTGGCTGAGCCTTACTCAGTGGGCGGGGCATTCATACAGGCCAGGGCTTTATAAAGCAGCACACAAGCGACCAGGGAGCGTTTGCGAACAGGGGCTGCTAACAGGGAGTTTCGCAAGGGAGTTGGGAAGGGGAGTGGGAAGGGGCGAGGGTCCCTTGCCGGTTCTATCTGTTTTCCCTTTATTCCCCTTAAAACTTTAAACTTCTTGCTTAAACAACCCTTTCAGCAGACAGGGGGCTGCAGACGGGAGTTTGACAGAGGGAGGCTTACGATGGTTAGGAAGACCCGCAACACCTGTGCCAGCACTGCTTCTGTCTCCTCCACCTGCGCCTGTAGCCAGACAGAGCGCCTGAGCATGGATGCTTCTACCCAGATCCTGGTGTGGTTTTGCAGAGACTGTAACTTGCAATTTCCACTTACTGATATCCAGGCTGAGGGGACCATCCAATGTGAAAGGTGCCTGCTGGTGGAATCTCTCAGGCAGCAGGTGGGAGAGCTACAGGAGGAGATGGCTAGGTTGAGAAGCATCCGAATCCACGAGCAATTCCTGGACAGTGTCCATGTGGAGACAGCTGAGGTAGCTGTCCCAGGACACAGGACTGCTGATACACCACTGGTGGAGGAGGAGATGGCTCAGGGTGGACACTGGCAGCTGGTTACTTCTGGCAGCAGGCAGTGCTCCACCCCTGCTCCGAACCCTCCCGCTGTGGTAATAGGTAACCGTTATGCTCTTCTTGATACAGGAAAGAAGGCATCACCCCCTACAGTAAAGGAGGAGAAGCCTCGTACCCCTAAGGCTGGGAGGTCTGCTGCCACCACTGCGAATAGGAAACGTAGGGTAGTGGTGGTCGGAGACGCTCTGCTGAGGGGGACGGAGGCGCCCATCTGTCGCCCTGACATTTCATCTCGGGAGGTATGCTGCCTGCCGGGAGCCCGTATCCGAGACGTTACGGAGGCATTGTCGAGGATTATCCAGCCCTCTGACTACTACCCCATGCTACTCATCCATGTGGGCACAAATGATACTGCGCGGTGTGACACTGAGCGGATCAAGAGTGACTACAGGGCTCTGGGAGTACGGGTGAAGGAGTTTGGAGCGCAGGTGGTATTCTCTTCGATTCTTCCTGTCAAAGGTAGGGGCCCGGGCAGAGACAGATGCATCATGGAGGTGAATGCCTGGCTGCGAAGATGGTGTCGCCAGGAGGGCTTTGGCTTCCTAGACCACGGGATGCTATTTGAGGAAGGACTGCTAGGCAGAGATGGTGTTCACCTTTTGAGGAGGGGAAAGACCCTATTTGGACACAGACTGGCTAACCTAGTGAGGAGGGCTTTAAACTAGGTTCGACGGGGACAGGTGAGCAAAGCCCACAGGTAAGTGGGGAACATGGAGACCTGGGAGATGGGTCGGAGACGAGAGGGAGTGTGGGCTATATTGGCAGAGAGAAAGGAGGGTCAGGACAAAACCGGGAGGAAAGATCAAACCAGTATCTTAGATGCCTATATACAAATGCGAGAAGTATGGGTAATAAGCAGGAAGAACTGGAAGTGCTAATAAATAAATACAACTATGACATTGTTGGCATCACTGAAACTTGGTGGGATAATACACATGATTGGAATGTTGGTGTGGATGGATACAGCTTGCTCAGGAAGGATAGACAGGGGAAAAAGGGAGGAGGTGTTGCCTTATATATTAAAAATGTACACACTTGGACTGAGGTAG